ACTGATGGTCTCAAAGTAGGCTACCATATTTCTTGTGTTTGGGGGTTCTACTGATGAATATTTATGTGGATACTATTATATTTATATTCAAGAATTGTTCTTGGAGTGTTTTCTATCTATCTCTTTCCCAAATTTTCTTGTTATCAATGGTCTGACCTTTCTTCCAGTTCTCTGATAATTAGGTAAGACCATACCAACTCTCTTCAATGTGTTGTTAAACTAACCCCTGGATGTCTCTTCACCCAAATAAAGTGGGAAAACACATGTTATGCTTGAAGATTTGCCCTGTGATGGTTCAGGTCCCTCTCTGAGTAACCACAGAGTCAACTTCTTCTTGGCATTTATTTATCAAGCAGAACTAACTGTAAACAAGGCTTAGGGGTTTTCATACTCAGTAATATGGTCATGGGGAATGCCCTTTAATGACATAATTGCAGACTGAAAGAAGAATAGGAGAATGCTTAAAAAAATATATGTGTTCTTTCTGCGTTTCTGTTTCACTTAACACAATGGCCTGCAGTTCCATCCCTGTTGCTACAAAAGACATGATTTTATTCTTTTTTATGACTGAGTGGTATTCCATTATGTATATATACCATATTTTCCTTATCACCACTATATAATATATCCATATAACAAAATTACACTTAAACCTCTTAAATTTATATGAATAAAAATTAAATCAGAGGCCAATACTTAAAACTCAAAAATATATGCATTCTGGGAGTATAAACCATATATTCATATACTTGTGTGTTTGGGTTTTTCTATCTAAGTCACATATGTACTTCTTCCAATTAATGACCAAAAGTTGATGAGAATATCCAATTTTGTGGTTATGTGCATCAGATATCTGATTGTGCCCTCTGTATATTTAGTCTCTGCTAAAGACCCATAGTAAGCCAGGAGGTTTTGTTTTAAAAAAAACCAAACACCCTACTTTCTAAAAGGACTATGATCTTCTTCTGACATCTGTGCTGTAGTATGAGGAGATTCTTTTCCTTTAATATTCAAGTTCTTTTAGTTTATTAGTTGCAAAAATAATTAAGTGATTCTACTATACAAAAGGGAATGATTTTTAAAAAGGATAAAAATTTAAATTTACTTTTGGAATAATAAGAAACTTCAAAGAACCTTGTACATTTAAAAATATTGGTTAAAACAAACACCTACATTTTTAATGAAAATATTATTTGATATTCTATTAATGTATGATTTTAGAAAAAAATTGACATGAAAAATAAATTGAAAATCTTACAACCTCTCCTTTCAAGAAAAGCTTTCCTTTCTCCGTGATAAAGCTTTCCTTTCTCTTTCGGATAGTCACATCACTTCAGAGCTAACGATCTATGACTTTCTCTTTTGAAACGCGTAATAGGTACTTTCTTAGGCTACTTATTAGAGACAGCAAAGATAAATTGTTTTTCTTAAAATAAGTAATCTAGTTAAACGTGACACTTATAGAACACTTCAAGAACTCCTCTTTTCAAGCTTGTATTTTATTTACTATTGAAACGGTAATGGTTGGTGTGGAATACCCTACCAGTGGACGTATATTGCCAGTTTTAATCTCATTATTTTTTGTTTAATCATCCCACTTTTCTATTTAGAAAATCACATGTAAATCACTGGAAGCAGTTTTCACAGGTAGGTAGGTAGACACACTTGAAAAGGTATACAAAGGAAACCCTGAAGTTTCAAGGGTATTTTTCCTTACAAATGACCTCCCTCATTGTTTGGGGGGAAAAGCTTAATTAGATCTTTCAATGTTTTTTTTTTTTTGATTGTACATATTTATGGGGTGTGATGTTTTGATACATGTATACATTGTGTGATGATCAGATTGTGCTTTGAGAGTTTGAAAGGAGAAGCTCTCCTATAGCAGACATGTATCTCATGGAGAAAAGAGAGATGGCAACTTCAGCTCTGGGCCTACGGGATAGAACGAATTCTGACTTAGCGCTCCTGAGGCAGCTGGTGGTTCAGACAGAGTTGCAAATGGTAATTAAAGAGGAGCAGAGCTAAACCTGAGGAGCACAAGTGTGAAGGAGTCATAATTTATCTGGGAGAAATAGATTAACATCCCTCAAAGAACCATGACACACGGAAAGTCCACCGTAAAGAGGATGAATCAGCACTGCCTGTCAGTCATGTGCCCATGATATTATGGGTGACAGGAAGGGCCACCAGCACCTAGTGAACCAGCCCTCTCCCTGCTTTGGTATGGATATGACTCTGATTCCCCTTTTATTTGTTTGTTTTTTGTTTTTTTTTGAGCCAGAGTCTCACTTTGTTGCCCAGGCTAGAGTGAGTGCCATGGCGTCAGCCTAGCTCACAGCAACCTCAGTCTCCTGGGCTCACGAGATCCTTCTGCCTCAGCCTCCCAAGTAGCTGGGACTACAGGCTTGCGCCACCATGCCCGGCTAATTTCTTCTATATATATTAGTTGGCCAATGAATTTCTTTCTATTTATAGTAGAGCCGGGGTCTCGCTCTTGCTCAGGCTGGTTTCGAACTCCTGACCTCAAGCGATCTACCTGCCTCAGCCTCCCAGAGAGCTAGGATTACAGGCGTGAGCCACCACACCTGGCCGATTCCCCTTTTAAATGTGCAAATTCCCAGAGTTTTGAAAAATTCAGGATAGAAGGCCTGAAGAAGGAAATCGTGAATTTCTTGCCAATAAGGCATGTAGGGGATTGAGAGATAACTTGGAAAAACAAGAGTTGTTATTGCATATGCACCTTAGGTTACAGAGTAATTCATAAAATCATATAGCCTTAGATGGTTTTAAAGAAAAAAACAATCAGCTATAAGCCCATAATATTATTATAGCACAATTTGCTTTTTTTGGATATTATATTTCTGTTCTCATCTACAGAAAAATATGTTTTTACATAGCTGAAAACATACAATAGAACCCTCTTACCTGTCCGATAGAGCCACGTAATTTGTTGATTAATCTAAAAAGTCTGATAGAGCTGAAAATAAAAAGAACGACTGGTATAATAAAATATTTTATTTTAACTCAAAACATTTAAATGTACATATATTTATGAATATTTTCATTTACGGATAAGACTTTTACTTAGAATATTGGACTACTTGATTAGAGTTCTTAGGAGTGCTTCTAGGATAAGCCCACCCATAAAGCATGACACAAATTCTGGTGAATTTAAAGATGAGCAATACTCTTAGTGACACTTACAAAATAATCCAAGTAAATAAGATGTTCATATTTTTATGATTTTATTTTCTAGAGCATATTTAGTCTTTGCAAAACACTCACTTGGCTGTATTAGAAACAAATAGTTTTTTTTTTTTTTGCAATCATACTTCAACAGGTTACATAGCACAAAATTACATTTCGCAAGTAGAGTAAATAGAATAATAAATACAACTGTTATAACTAGTTTTGAGAATAAACACAACTGGCAACTTGTAGGGGCTGAAATATGCAGGCACAATAGAAAATAATGTATTAAACAAGAGTGCTGATTGCACCATAGAAATCAGGGTGCTTTACAGAGGAAATGGAGCATGCTGGTTAAACTGTTATATAAAAATATTTTTCTTGTTTATATGTAATTTTCACAGTCATATAAATAATAATAACATAGTTTTCCATCTGTGTGATTTAACATATTTTTTAACAAATCAGGAGGTTTTTATTCTAGTATGGGTTGAGTCTCTGGGCAGAATAAGGGTATAATTAACAGTAATTGATTCTTTCAACTAGAAGACAAACACTGTGCTAATTCCATAATTCACATATTCACTTAGAAAAAAAAAAATCTCAGTTGTCCAGATGAAGAAATTCAAGGCTCTTTAGTTTCAACAGTTTGAAATAACATGTCTCAAATTACATATCTTGACAGTGAGTTAGAATTTAAAATCAATTCTGATCAGTGTTTATAATCCAAATTATTACAGAAAATGTGAGATTCATATGAGTACCATAGGTTTGGTCAACTGAAAGATGAGGGCCATCTGTGCCTCTTCAGACGACTATGTCCCATTTGAGCAGCAAGAATGAGGATGTCATTCTTGGCTGTTTTTAGTTCATTATAAAATAAAATTAAATTATATGAGTGACTTAAACATATCACTATGTGAAAAAAAAAGCATAAACTACAAACAAAAATAAAATGTATTTAACTTAAAATTAACATAATAAAAATCTAGAATTAAGTTTTGAAAAAAATAAAAAATTCTGGAAATTGTAACTAATGTTTTTGTCACTGGAAAACCCAATTCTTTAGCATTGAAATCTTGTTCTCTATCTAAGGCTTGTTTAAATTTTTTCTCCTGTCTTCCTATCCCACTAATTCCAAACCTTTTTCTCTTTTAGAAGGAATAAATACTTGTTTTTTTGATTTTCACGAACCTTTATTTATATCTTTTTAACAGATCTGATTATCTTATATTATCATATTTTTTTCAGTGTTCATCTTTTCACTTACCCACTCCCCACCTTCATAAACTATAAATCTATTCATCTTAAATTTTTCTCTTTGGACATAAAGAACCACTACATAGTGAGTTTACTAGATGAATGCTTATGTCCCAGATAAAATGCTTCCAGCCACTTCAGATTTTGTTCTTTCTTTCATCCAGAAGAGCAATCCTGGTCCTGAGTTTCATTTTGGGGTTGTGTCTCTTTATACTAAGTGTGAGTTCCTTTTCTTTCTTTTCTTTTCCTTTCTTTCTTTTCTTTCTTTCTTTCTTTCTTTCTTTCTTTCTTTCTTTCTTTCTTTCTTTCTTTCTTTCTTTCTTTCTTTCTGCTTTTCTTTTTCTTTCTTGGCATGGGATAATGTAGGGCTTAGATTGAATTGAACTTCTTTTATGTGGGAGAAAACAAAAAGCCAACAGTAGTCTTAGTTCTTGGAAACACTGTCCAAGACGTGTCTAAAGCATGATCCAAGTCATGTCTCAAAGGTCAGGGAAAAATCTCATGCCTTTGCTTTCTTCCATGACTTTCCTAGTTAATTTTAAAATTTTTTGTTAACTCATCTTAGTTGCCACAGGCATTCTCAGAACTCTTTTTAGTGCAGTCTTCACTTCCTGGTTCCTCAGACTGTAGACAAGGGGATTAAGGAGGGGAGTAACCACTGTGTAGGTCACTGCCACCAACTGATCCTTGTCTGAGGCTGACTTGGACTTGGGCCGAAGGTAGATGATGGAGGCACAGCCGTAGTGGACAAAGACCACAGTGAGGTGTGAGGCACAGGTGGCGAACGCCTTCCTCTTGCCCTCAGCTGAGGGGATCTTCAGGATGGTGTTAACGATGAAGCCATAGGATATGAGAATTAGGAGAAAAGGCACCATGATTACCAGGATGCTAAGGCTGAATAGAGCCAGCTCTTTCACGTGGGTGTCAGTGCAGGCTAACTTGATAACAGGGGCCATGTCACAGAAATAGTGGTTGACCCTGTTGGGGCCGCAGAAAGGCATGTCACAGATGAGGTTGGTGGCTACCAGAGCAATAAAGAAACCTGTGACTCCTGATAGTGAAACCAATCCCAGCCCTAACCTTTTGTTCATGATGAGTGTGTACCTCAGTGGGTGACAAATCGCTACATAGCGATCGTATCCCATCACAGCGATGAGAAAGCAGTTGGTGCAGGCAAAGCCAAGGAAGAAGAAAAGCTGGGTGGCACAGGCCACGAAGGAGATAGTCTTGGAGTCTGAGAGCAGGTGGACCAGCAGCTGAGGGATGATGACAAAGGTGTAGCAGGACTCAGAAAATGAAAGGATGAATAGAAAACCATACATGGGAGTGTGTAGAGTCCGGGTGAGGCGAATCAGAGCCATGATGGTCACGTTGGCCACCAAAATTGTCAAGTACAGGAAGAAAAAGATGACAAAAAGCAGGAGCTGGAGCTCCCCCAGGCTGGAGAAGCCCACCAGGATGAATTGTGTGACCACTGTGGTTTTGTTGAAACCTCGCATCTGGATAACTTTTCTCTGAATGAGTTTGGGAGAGACAAAGTGATAACTATTATTGCAATACAAACATTTTTCCAATGCCTTCACTTTAAGTATAGTGTCAGACTCAGGATATTAATATCTCTTTCTCTCAGTATATATAGACTTGGATAATTTTTACAAGAAATTATTAATGTGCAATAATAGGGGAATGATTGCCTATATTATAGAAATACGCAAAAGTTTAAAAAGCTGTTTAATATTTTCAAAAACTATTTGAAAAAAGGAGAAAATTTTCTCAGTTTAAGAACATTACCTTTAATATGGAGAAGACAATTTAAATTATTTTCCTTGTGCTGTATATATCTTCTTGCATGTATATTCTGTTCTAATACGTTGGTTTCTTTCCATAATATTAATATCCACTTAATTATTATTATTATAAAAGCATTAAAGCACTTGCCTCAGAGCATGGACTCAGGAGCCAGAATGCTAGAGTTTGAATCTTGCTTTTGCCACTTAGAGCTATGAATATCAGTATGGCTCAGTTTTTTTTTTCTTTTTCATTTGTATAACAAATCATAGAACATACTATAATATATAGGGCTATTAAAAGAATTAACTTAGATAACATAAGTGAAGTGCTTGAAACAGCATGTTAAGTAACATAGTAACTGCAATCCATGTGTTAGCTGTTTTTGCCTTTGTCACACACATTCATGGTTACAGGAGTTGAGAGACAGATATCCTGGTTTGATACCCGAATACTAGAAAATCCGAGACCTCTGAATCAGGACAGTTTCCCTGTATTTGACCCCTATGTTCTTATCTGTGTAGCTCTTTTTCTTTTTAAATTGAGTGAAGGAATTTAAATATGCATAGTTAAATATAAGATTGTCATTTTCATGTTTTTCAAAATTAGTTATCTTTTTAAATTTTATTTTTAATTGACCAATAATAATTATAAATATTTATGGGGTAAAATGTGATCTTTTGATACATGTATACATTGTGGAATGATCAAATCAGGGTTCTCTAATGAATTTACACTCTGTTTCTCATCTAAGGAGTCTTTAGCCTTTGGGTTCTCTTTCATGATTCTACTACATGTTCTGTATGTTTACGGCATTGGGAAGAGGCATAAGCATAAAATCTGTGTCACAGGCTATGGCATTTCTGCCTATGAAACAAAACAAATTGATGATTCCTTGGGATAGGGGTAGAGCAGAAAGACCAAGGCGAAGATATAGGAAGAAAGAGGAGAAAATAACAAGAATCCACCCTGAATCTTTTGCAGATGAAATAGGCAGAAAGTGTCAGGGTAAAAGGAAAGAAGAGACTATCTCCAGATCTTTACGTGGTCTTGTAAAAGACATCCCTCTTCCAAGAGCCCTAATCATTTTTACTTTCAGAATCAAGTTCAGAAATCTGGGAGAAACCAGGTATAATATATGCACCACTCAGCATTTCCCAGCTTGCTGGCTATTTTAATGCCTATAAAATGTAAGGAGGTGCTTGATATAACATACTTGTGTATGCTCACTATTCATCATCTGTGCCACGATTTATTTGCTTAGGTAGTTCCATGCACCTGCTCTAATAGCCTTTTCCTTTATATCAGAAAACAAGATGCTTTCATGTAAGCTACTTCATTTTGAACCAAACATCCTGGTAGATAGCACAAGTGTCTTTGTCTGTATCTTGCAGGTAAGGCAAGTGCACTAAGTGCCATCTCCTAGGTAGAGTAATCTGTGAGCATCTTCATCACTGCATTTAGCATATTGATTTAAATTCATCTCCTTCTATATTTGGCTATTTCTATAGAACTGTGTTTCTTAAGGGCAGAAGCAATTTTGCTTTGTAATAGTGGAATTCCTAGCATTTCACATAATTTGTGGTTTATCATGCACTTAAAGCTTTTGACCTGAACAAAGTCTAAAAAATTAAATAACGTGCTCAAGGAGTAGCTCCAGTACTAGAATTTGTCTTATAACTTCTAATCAGCTTTCTACCCACCACATTTTATGCCAACTGTTCTTTACCTATCATAAGTTTATCTGCTCATATACCTTTTCCAAGGGACTAAAACATAGTTCCAAGCTGCTTGTTCAAGTGAAACTTATTTTACCATTTCTGACTTTTCTGGAATAATTTAATTTTAATCATTCAGTTTTCTGGAATTATCAAATTGGAACTCCCATATGAACTTTATTCTCTTTAATCCTAAAATTATGGACATGACACAAAAAGACAAAAGGATTAGGAAAATGGGTAAATTAAGGATATGGATGGTGAATGTACTCAAAGATAAGGAAGATCAAGAGGATGCTGCCTAATTTCAATCACGGTTTATAAATCAAACACTTTCAACACCTCCCTAAGTAATTAACTTCTTCAAGAATTTGGTTATAGAAGAGAGATTCTTTATTCTTAGCCATAACCATAGTACTGTTTGTGTATCTTTCTTTCATGCTGTTCTATGTGCCTGTTTTCCCATTGTTTTCCATTGTTTGAAATCTCCTTCATGTCTCATGTTCTCCAATAAAACTTTCCTGACTACTAGAGCCATGCAGATGCTTATTCTCTTTATAACTCTTTGGGATCTTAAAATCATGCATGTATGTGAATAGGTTAGATACTATCTTGCATTACTTTATAATTAATTTGCCTACATAGATGCCTCATATCCTTAGATTGTTTCTTTGGGCAAGGGGCCATAGCAAAGTATTCTAAATGATCTGCAGCCCTTACAACAGTACCAGACACATAATAGACTCTAATTAAATAATTAATAAATGATGGCATGGTTTAATTCTCCTTTTGTTTCTGAGTTTTCTCATATACTATTATTTTTTTCTAGAATGCATTCTCTGCTTGTCTGCTATAATCCATATCATTCCTAAATTTTTTATTTTTCTCAAAATCATCTTTTATTAAAAAAGGGGAAATCTACACTGTTGAGCTTTCCTGCCCTCCTAGTTACTTCTATTACTTGACTCTTCAACATTTCGATGTGATGTATTAAGATGTGGTTTGTATGTTTGTATGTGTATATGTGTTTATTTTTGTGTGTATATGTACACTCAATCAGAACAGAAGCTTTTTCATTTCAAGAAAAGAACAAATAAAGTTTTACTTTGGTGGAAAATATTTTTCATAACAATAAAAACACTTTGTGCAAATGTATTCAAATTTGAAATCCTGTTAGAAAATGTTTCTTTCTTCAGATAGTGACTGACAAAGAAAATACACTTACCCACTTATATCTAAAAGATGAAGGAAACTGGCATGTGACTTTGAGTTTGATGACTTATAGTCTCGTAGATCTTTGAAATGTTGAAAGAGGCAGCAGAAAGTCAGTTGTAAAAGCAATGACATTTGTCCTGAAATATTAAACAATTGGAAGAAAATGCACTGAAGCATTCATAAAGGGTTTATTTGGACACTTAGATGTCCAAACATTTTTCAAGTCTTAAATAAGAAGCTGAAAATAACCTATTCTGTATTAATATGTCAATTTATATTCTATAATTAGATTGGAGAGTATTGATAGCCTTCAGGGATTCCAAGGACTAAGGCCTTCTGAGATTTAAGGAGAACTAAAGCAAGAAAGAAAATAAATGACTAAACTTGGACAAAGCCAAGAAGAAAATAATTCAGACTTCAAAAAAGCTTTTCATCTCTGCAAAGCACTGAAGATGTAGATTAGTAGTGTTTTAGCATAGGGAAGTTTAAGTACTTTCTGATGAAAAAGCTACAAATACCTAGAGGCCAGGAGAAGCCAAATTCTCCAAACAAGTCATTTACATAAAGATTGATTTGATAAGGCTTAAGAGATGAAGGCAAGGGTTGGTGAATGCAGGTATGCTTGGCACTTTGGGAAATTATGTAGGTAGTCTCTGTCCTGTTTTTATACCCAATGCCTGAATATAAATTCAAACAACTGAATTTCTTAATTCTCTCCTGGGAATTATTGCAAGGGAATGACTTTTATTCCACAATTATTCATTGAGTGTTGTGATTTGGAAAGCACCAAACTGGGTATTATAGTGATACAGAGATAAATAAAAAATATGAATTGATCTGATCTAGTAGAGAAGATAGATATTAAATATAAACATAGCTATGTGCAATAAGAGGCATAATAAAGCATATGCCAATGAATTACAGGACAGGTAGAAGGATGAGCACCCCTCCCCCCAGAATATATCCACATATAAAACAAAAAAGTGAAAAACGAGTAATATTAGCACTGATCAAATATAGGATATTAGTTCCATATAGGTAGTTGTAGGTTTTCTGTGTTCTCTTGTGCAGCAATTGTCTGATTCTGATGAAGCCTGCCAACTTTCTAAAGGCTAGCAAAAACAGTACCAGATGGTTCCATGCTTTTATAGCCCTAAGGGTCTCAGAGTGTGTCCCTTTGAAATTGTCTGTCGGCTAGGACCAAGATCCAGGCAGAGTATGCCAGAGTCGGGCTGATTTTGTAGCATATTTTACTTTCCTAGCGAGGGACATCCACTTGATCTTTCCCCTCCAGCCATTCCTTGGATTCAGCCTTTCTTGTATTTCTCCCCAAGCATAGACCATCTAGTCAGATGTCTTATGCCAGGTGTTTTAGAATTTTAAAGAGCCCAAAGGTCCTTATGTAATCTCTATTTCACTGAGAAGGAAGCCAAGCCTGGAGAGGTGAAATAACTTGCCCAGTGCCCCACACAGCTGCCTGGTGGCAGAGTCAGGATTAATACTCAGGTTACTTGGTTCTATTCCCAAACATAATTGATAAATGCCCCTGAAATCTCACTCATCCCATGTTCTGGGCAAGGATTGGAAACCTCTAGCAACAGAGAACTCTTGTAGGTCCCAATGTGAGGATTTCTGGGTCTAAACAAGTAAATAGAAAGCACAGTAAATCCTGACACAAGCATCAAACAAAAGGACAGCCAAGTCAGAGGCAAATGCATAATTTTATTAAATGGAATGAAGTGAATTAGGTGATTAAGAATATACTGTTAATATTTGTG